GGTAAAAGAGTAGCCCAAGAGTTGGCGGTGGGTGGTGATGACTAGCTGTCTTCCCTCTAGTCTTACACTGCTAAATTAGTGCAGGCTAGCGCAGATAGCCCTCATGTAGCTTTGCGCGAAATTCATAACAAACAAACAATTGTTATTGTTAGGTGGCTCTTAACATGACTGAAATGCTCAGCAATTACTTTTCACAGTGAGTGGTATTAGTAACTCAGAGCTTTGGCTCTAAATGAAACCAAGAGTGCAACACAATTAACCTTTCTAAAGTCCATGAAATAATTTAAGTTGATAGATTAATTTAAACTTTGACTCGTTATTATGGATGGTTACTTTTGCTTGTACATAATATTAAAACTGATAAAGTGCCAGGTGAATTTATTTATTTGCAGGTCAGTTTGGATTAACTTTAGAAGATCTGCAAACTATTGTTTTATTGCAAACTATTTTGATTTTAACATGCCCTTGTATAAGATAATTATAAAGAAAATCCCATGTTTAAAATGACCACTGCTACTTTCCCATAGGTAACAAAATTTTGCTATATTATAGGCTCATTGAATATTGTAAATTTTATTCAAGAGAATTTGGACATGTTACAGGGTGTTTCAAAACCCCAAATAAAGTATTTTTCTTGCAAAGAATGTTGCTTTTATTTCTCTTCTTACCACAATATAAGATTGATGTTGTGAATAAAATGTCAATATGTAGGATATGGCTAAAGTCAATAAACATTGTCCAGAACAGATTGTTCTTCCAATAGCTTCATTTAGAGATAAGCATGATATGCTTATTGAGCATATTGAATACCTTCTGTGACAGTTTTTAATACACCCTGTAATGTATAAGACTTTCCTGAATAAATCTTATGATCTTTAGTATGTTTCTGGTGAAATTAAATTTCTCTAAGTCTAGTAGCTGTTTAAGTTATAATTGCTTTAAATGTGGGGTGTTCTTTATAATCAACTCATATCTGCTATATGTTCAGTATTGTGTGAATATATATATATATATATATATCTGTGTGTATTTGTATCTATGCACACACATAAAAACAGTGCAATCCAGAGGTATGAAATAATAAAAAAAATACTAATTTAATCTTAAAAACTTTTAACTCTTTCAGCATGGGCTCAGTTCCAGGGACTGACCTTGTAACCACTTTGTGCTTGTTATAGTTTTCATGCTATAACTTTTAAATTAGTAAGCTTATGTTCACAAAATTTGGAAGATTATCAGTAAACATTACAATGCTTTCATACCCAAAATATCAGATTTCTTTTTATTAAGCCTTATGGTTTGTTAAGCAATATTTTTTATACCTGTTTTTCTTTTTGCATGTTGCCTATCCAAATGCAAAGTAATTTTCATTTTAAGATTAAAAATACTTTAATGCATCAGAAAATTTTCAAATTTAACATGCAAAATCCTTATAATGTCCAGATAGTTATCAAACATTTCTTAAAGAAAAACTTTATATTTTATCCGTTATTTTCACTAACAAATTTCTGTACGAGTTTGGTCGATTTGACCAATATCATAACCACCATAAATATAAATTATGCCTTTATTGTTCTAGAATGACTGTAGATTATAACAAGAATACACAAATGTTTAGACTAGATACCACTCATGTTACTGTGTCCAATAATATAAATCTGATCTGTCTTGGCTTTGTGTTAGTGGACTAGTATTTTGTAAAATACATCACATTTCAATTATTATATATGTATATAGATTATTAGTATTTACAAATAAGTTCTTAAACTTATTTTGAAGAAGTAAAGCAAACAATTATCTCTTCTAGTTACGACCTTTCTACTCAGTTGCTGCTTGTTGTAGCTTGCTAAGCCTTAAGAAACTTCACACATGAAGGATTTGAAATGAAATAATTTTTTTAGGTTTTATATATATATATGAATAACCAAAAAAATCATAAATTATGATATCAATACCATAGAATTCTATTATAACTTTTTGCTGCTTGTTGTAGCTTGCTAAGCCTTAAGAAACTTTGCATGTGAAGGATGTGAAATAAAATAATTTCTTTTAGGTTTTATATATATATGCATCTGAATAACCAAAAAAAAATCATAAACTGCAATATCAATGCCATAGAATTTCATTATAATTTATCAAGTTTAGTAATTAAGCTGTATTTGGGTCTAAAAAAATATGAAATTTGAAACATGCTAAAGATTCAAGACAAAGGTTTGACTTCTTGGTTATTCACATTTCAAATATAGAAGTAAGTGTATATAAGGGACCATTTCTGAAAATGGAAAGAGGTGAGCAGGCCATTGTGTTTGATTCAGTACAAGAGCAATATCACAGCAAATAGAAAAGATAGGAGGTTTTTATTTTATATTCCAGCTTGTCAATATTGGTAATTTGAGTTCATAATTCATACAATACAATAGACTTTGTATTGTTACGATAGCAGAAATCATGCGATACTGGTAGCGTGCTCGCTGGAGTTTCTCGAAGGATCATGAATTATTGAGGAACCCCGCAAATGTCCAAGTGTTTGGGAGATGCCCTCTTTTTTAGTATATGACCCCGGCGAGAAAAACCAGCGAGATTGAAGAAAGAAAAGAAAGAAAGAATTTATACCAGAAATTAACATACAAGCAGAGACGTAACAAATTGGTGTCAGAGAGTGGGACGGAAAAAAAAAGAAGATGGAAATGAGAAGTGGCAGAGATGTAGCACAGGATTTGTAAAGTATGGCACACAAGGCCTACCAACTGCACCACCCAATGTCCTCAAGCTGTTGCTGAGGTATCAGTCTGTAGACGCCTTGGACAGTCCACAACTGAAGATACAAGTAAAGCAAGCACACCCCTCTACTATACAAGATGCAATGGCCAGATCTCTTGAATTCGAATCCTACGTTAAGTCCAGCATAGAGGTACCAAGGTTGGTACAGTCATCAGGACTGTGCGCTGCATTGGTATATTGGAAGAAGTTATGTTTACTGTAATTTTTAATTCACTAAGTGTGTCTTCACAAAATTTGGTAAGCTTTTAATAAACATTAAAAGTGTGTTAGTACACAAAAAATTAGAATTTTTATAAAGTATTTCTACCAATATTCTGACTATGAATTTGTGAAACCCTTATTGGGTCAATCTGAGTATAAGGGATTTTCATGCTAAGAATAAAAAAAAATCCTTTTCATATATGGTTTTTCATATTTAATTTGCTTAATCTGTAAAACCTCCTAATTGAATATAATTTTTATTTTTTCAGTAAAACTTTATTCGTATCTGGTTTCATCTAGTTTTATTGCTTTACAGCTATATTAAGACCATCTTAGAGTGCACTAAAACCATTTATTACATTGGAACAGCTTTATGTAAACAAATTATCAAGTTACAGTTATGCTGTGGTATGTGCACTTGGTTGTCTCAGTGTAGGTTATTAAGTATCACAAGGTTCTAAATTTATATTCCAACTTTTTTCAATATATATATATATAGTAATTAGTTGGACACTCTTGAACCCATAAAAGGGTAGAAAGAAAATCTAAAATGGGTAATTTAGAGTGCAAGGGCATCACATTAAACACACAAGTGACAATTGAGAATTTATTTAAATATTTCCTTTGGAATTAAGAAATTAACACTTAGATAATATAAAACTACAAATTATAAACTATATTTTGATGCTAAGCTTATTGACATACATTAATAGTAAAGTTGTTTAATTATAATTTGGAGGCTCGGTATGGCCAGGTGGTTAGGGCGCTTGACTCTCAATCTGAGGGTCGCGGGTTTGATTCCCTGTCCCACCAAACATGCTCGCTCTTTCAGCCAT